CCCTTCTTTTTTTTTTTTTTAACAGAGTCTCTCACTAAATTGCCAGGTTGCCCAGACCCAGCTTAAACTTGAGATCCTCTTTCCTCCACCTCCCAGAGTGCCAGGATTACAGGTGTGCTCTCCCTCATCTTCACAGGTAATCTGGGCAACAGCTCCGCAGTAAATTGTAAATAGATGACAGCGCATACAACAGCAGTGCTTCTTAGTTGTGGGCAGCAAGGTAAGAATTAACCTCTAATTACAGCTCCTCCTAGCTCTTGCTCAGAGAGAACCTCAGGTAAGGTCAGGCAGACTGCCTATTGCACCTCCACATGCCCCTCCCTGTTCCCTGACTCCAGGCTCACTGTGAGCTGAGGAGCTCTGCACAGGGCAGAAAGCAGCCATGACACCTCTGCCTTGCAACTGAAAATGCCTCACTCAGGCGACCACTCTAACAGCCTCCTTCTCCACCCAGCAGGCCATGGGGGGACTGAGCAGGTCAGCTCCCGGGGAATGACCCATGTGCTGATGGGCCTGCGGGGATCGCAGCCTGGCCTCAGGAGGTCATGAGGACTGAAGAGTTCGTCACTCACCAGTGCACATCACAGAGGCAAAGACCCAGCACTGCCCGTACTTCACGGGCTTCCCGCCCTGGGCAGACCATTGCCGCAGGATGGCCACACTGCCGTTCCACTCGAGTGGGCTGGTGCCCCTGGAGTAGTCCTCACTCCAGTTCCCCTGCAGCACACCGCTGTCGTCATTGCTGTTGATCTGCAAAGGACAGGCAGGCAGGGTCCGCAGTGCCCTCCCAGCGAAACTCAGACTGTCCTGGGTCAGCAACAAAAGACTGTGGCCTCACCATGGCGCTCACCACCCTGCACACATATACCACGTCGTTCCGCTGGGAGCAGTCTTTAGCTGGGTTCCTGAAGAAGTACAGGCTCTTGTTCAGGATCTCAAAGCAGATATCTACGATGTCCTTTTCAAACTTCCGAGGCATTGCAAGGGAGAAAAGAAAGAAGAGCAAAAAGGACTAGGATTCTGAAATGTCAAGTCCCTTACAGACTTTTCACGACGGTGTGTGTATGCACGTGGCGGGGAAGTGGGAACTAAACATAAGACACAGTCTGCTTTTGACAAGCTTATAAATCAAATTCGGGCTGTATTTGGTCTGGAAGAACTCACAGAGAGAGTGCAGGGTGAGAGACCCCGGCTGGTGGAGGAGAGGAGAGAGTACAGTTGCCGAGGCCTGCGAGCCTGTGTGCCCCCGGGAACTCAGGAGGCCTCCTGTCTGGAGGGTTGTGTGGGCAGAAACAGGTCAGACAGATGAGCGTGAGAGAGAGAGGTTGGTGGAGAGTCTTGCAGTTAGGCAGAGAAGCTCAGAGCGGATGTTGTGAGCCCTGGAGGAGGCCGGCGAAGGTTTATGACGAACGTCTCCACCCTCTGGCCACCAACTGCACTGGAATCCATCCCAGTTCACAAGAGCCTTGCAAGTTGCACTGTTGGACAGGGGAAATGTGATCTTTCTCAGGAAGGCTAATGTTTTCCCCTGGAGATTGTGCCCAGGACTGGGGTGGGAGGAAGGGGAAAGCACACTCACTGCGCTCGATGTTTGTGAGTGGAAAAGTTGTCCACAGCCTCCATCCTCTGAACATTGACTGAACTATTTAATGCTATTAAGAAATTAGTGTTCTTTTTTTTTTTTAAGTTATGATCAGTTTTTCAGAAAGAACAATCTCTTGGAGCCATGTTCTGAAGTATTACTAGATTAAATTATATGTATCTATAATTTGCTTCAAAGGAATCCACCAACTAGGAAAATGTAAGAGTGTTGGCCAGGGCTGGAAGGGCAGCTGGTAAGTCTCTCAGCCCTGGCAGGCCTCGGTTCTGTCTCACGACTCAGCTCCACACTGCGACCGGAAACACCCTCAGACAACATCTGAGGGAACGAATGAAGCGTTCTTTATGGACGTAAACTTGAACTTCATATAATTTTCAATGTCACTAAATTTTTTTGTGGGTGGTTCTTTTAGGCAATTTTGAAATGTAATACTTTTTCTTCCCTGTGCAGTAGGCCACATCTGGCCCATGCCAACTCCGGGAATAGATGAAGGAAGATTCACCATAAGAAACCGAGAAATGCCTATGTGGAGGTTTATCACAGCTGCTGTTCTAGTTTGATTATGTTTAACACACACACACACATGCATACACACACACACACACACACACACGCTAAAAAGGAAAGGTGCCTCCCTGCCCCTCTCACTGCATAGAAATCACCAGCACACACTGGCCTTTGCCAGCACCCTTCCTAGGAGCAGCCTCGATGAGCCCACCCCAAGCCCACCTCCAGCAGATGGCATTACCTGCCCGTAGTTCCAGGGCCAGGAGTTGATGAGCCTTTCATGCCCCTTGTAGACAAAGCCGTAATCCTGCATGAGGTACTCCTGCAGCAGTATTTCACTCGGCAGGTATACATCGTCCTCTGGGCAGTGAGAAGTGGTAGAGGGAGCAAAACCCCAAACCAAGAAGCAGAGCAATAAAATTAAAAAAATTGTAATGATGGTCTTTTTCTGGAAAATAGGAGGGATAGTGGATCGCTGGTAGAGGAAATCAGGATGGTGCCTTCTTAAAAGTCTACCTTGTAGTTCTTTAGAGAGGACAGCAATATAATCTATATTTTTAAAAAGATTTAAAGTATAGATGTTAAAAGTTTCAAGCTTATTGTACAGACTTGGAAAATATATCTGGTTCAACCTGCATCCCCCCTTTCTTTGCCTTCTTTTTTTTCTAAAATGTTATAACAAAAATATTTTTAAAGGAAGTTACATTACTTATATACATGAACTATATTAACTATTTCATATGTGGCCCAAGGCAACACCTCTTTACTCACAGAAATGAGGGTAAAAGTAAAGTTAAAAGAAAAAAAAAAAGGCTGTGGGTTGAACAGGGCTGATTCAGATAGACAGAGAAAGGCAACAGAAATCACTCACTCCCACTATTCAGAGAACCCCACCATTATATTTTAAAACACAGTATGCTGTGCACTCTCTTCTTGAGCACATATATTTAATATAGGCAAGATCATACTGTACACCAGAAGTGTTTTCATCATGCCATTAAAAACTTTTCCTAAAGATGATCTTTAGCAAGAACATATGGGAATCTATCTATCTATCTACCTATCTATCTATCTATCTATCTACAGTGTATCTTCCAGCCCTTCTCAGGACCCTCACAGAAGAATCCATCACATCCAGGAGCCAGTCCCACCTGTGCTCCATGGGTTAAACAGCAGGATGAAGGTGCCCAGAGGGTAGGTCATCCTGTGGCCCTGGTGCTGAGCAATCTCTATTCTCAGCGTGTAGTGACCAATGACTGCGCTGGCCGGTGTGAAGAGGGAGACATGGAGAGAGGTGGAGTCAGCTGAGAAGTCAGACACGCTCCAGACATCCCTGCGTTGTGCCTGCGTGAGGAAGAAGGTGGCTCGTGTCCCCAGCAGCTCCGAGGGCTCAGGGCCTGGGCAGGAGAAAATGACCCCAAGGGAGGCTCAGAAATCTATGTGGCATTAGATTCCTTGGGGCCCAAAAGGCTCCTCACTTCCTCCCAACACTTGCTAAGCCTTTTGGTGTAAAGCTCTGGTGATCACTGGATGTCTACAGGCAAACCACTTAAGATCTCTGAGCCTCTGTTTTGTTTTTTAAAAGCTGTAAAATGGGAATCATAATGGTACCTACCTGAAACTCTTTTGTGGGTATTAAACAGAGTCACATGTGTGTGTGAAGTTTTACACACTGTTTGTTTTCTTTTTTTTCTAGGCAGGGCCTTGCTAAGTCATTAAGTTGCCCCTGCTGGGCTTGAAATTGCAATCCTCCTGCCTCAGCCTCCCAGAGTACTGGGATTGCAGGCATGCACCACCACATCCGACTAGCACAGTGTTTTTAAAGGTTGGTTGTTATGGCCACAGTGCTGAACTGCCAAATCCTCCCTCACCAGCACTACCTGGGTACTGAACATGGAGGTCCTGGGGTTCCCAGAGAAGAGAGGGAAGGTAGGGACCCTGAAATGAACTGTGCAAATATCCCCATGCTGTGGAACCTGTGGTGCTCACCGGTCTCAGCCACGAAGGTGATGTGGTCACGGTGGGGCTGGAAGGGCTGGTTGAAGCTCAGCCGGAGGCTGAAGAGCTGCCCGCGCCGCAGGATGAGCCGCTCCCCGCCCATCTCCTGTGTGTGGTGTCCCTTGTTGTTCCTGGCACTGTGCAGGTCCACGGACCTGAGCTCCAATGCTGCCACTAGGGGAGGGGAAGCACGGGTCACTGCCCAGCTGGGACAGTCTGCGCTCAGGAGCTCCCGGCAAGTCTCAAACGTTTCTGTGGAAACCGGCTCTGACCTAGGTAAGATTCCCATCCAGTTCTGAGCCTCGCTGTCTCCTGATTTCATTCAGTAGGCCCGTGGCAAGGAATGGGGAGGACCTCAGTCCCGGTGACCTCTGCACCCACACCTGGAGCCACAGTACTAAAAGACCGAGGCCTCCAGCTACTGAAAGTTACTCCACAACCCTGACATGAGAAGAAATGAGCATAACTGGAATTTTGTGAGTGAAGTCAACGGGCTGACTGGAGGCAAAGTCCTCAACTATGGACAAGCTCCTGCTTTAGGAGACTGGGGAGTTTACAGCTTACATCTTACTTCTCAGCCATTCCAGGTCTATGAGGAGGACAATGGCCACTGTATATGGTGTGTGCCTACTGTTGCAGTTGTGAAACCCTGAGAGTACAGTGGTCAAGTGTGCATGCTGTGGAGTGACAGCCCCAGGTCACCACCTCCACAAGTTGCTTGTGGGACCTTGAGCAAGTCACTTAATGTCCCTAGACATCAGTATCCTTGTCTGAAAGCTAGAGAGACCACTGTATATTCCTATTTCCGGTAGTTCAAATGGGCATAAGAGAGGATACACTGAAAATCTTTGCTGTGTGAGAGATCGGAGTGAGCATTCAGCAGTTATTAGCCACTCGTAGTAGCTGTAACAGTACAACCTCAGAATGGGTCTGCTTTGCTATTTTTGCTGGCAATGTCTACATTGCATTCGCTATCAAAAAACCCATTATGTCTTTTCCTGAGTAGAATATCAGATTAACCCCAGGATTCTCCACAGGGAGATCTGGTTCTCTGGAGGACACTGGTGATGCCAGGGATGTTCTGTTGCCATGACTGTAGGAGTCACCACAGCCAGGGACACTGCTGACCAGCGTCCTAGGGAAAACCACCATGGTTTGTGTGGCCTTTGCATTTTGAACTCCACATAGATTCTCTGGTTTTGCCTCTTTCCTAACTGCTGCAATGTTCTGAATCCTAATTCTTTCATCTGGATGCTTTACTTTGCCATTGACAGATTGGCTAAACTGTTTTCCATGTCTTAATCCTTGGGCATAGAAGCATTAAGGCTAAAGTCTGAGGCAGATGGAGTATTCTCAGAGCATCTCTCCAGATTCATAGTAGGCTATCGAGCAATACTAGCTATGAATACATATAAATATTTACATAAAGAAGTTGAACTAGTCATCATAGTCTAAAAGTCAAATCCATCTTTTGTATTTCTATCTTCCCCACAAGTGTGCCAAATGTCTGACTGAAAGCAGAACCTTTGCAAAGGTCCTTTGCTCTGACTGTAGGGACAGTCTTTCCTCGGGGTAGATTCGTCAAATGTAAATTACTGGGTCAAATGGTACAAAGTTCTTAGGCCTCTTCGTGTAATTTGGACATTTAAGGAGATATGCCATTGGAAAGAGAACATTCAGGGAAAGATCTCAGAGAGATGTCTTTGAGTTATTCAATGGTATTTTTAAAATATTGGGACTGACAGACACATTGATAGTTTATGGAATCAAGGTGACCAAAAAAAGAAGAGATCATAATGCACTGCACGTAAGAAGAGCGATGATAATTTTATGTGCAACTGGGCCTCGGTGTAAATTCCAGGTCATGGTCAAAGGTTTGCAGACAATTGGCTTGGCCTTGATCCAGTTGGAAACTAGGTGCATCTCACTTGTTTCTGAGGGTCTGAAATGCTCATAGCTGGATCACTGAGCTCTCAGGAAGCCTCTGCACCCTACACCCTCCAGAGCGCACCCACCCTGAAAGATCCTATACCCCAATGGTAGTAAAGAGCATGTAGGAGCCTACACAGGCCCCCAGCACAGCCCTTTCCTGGCTGCTGTCTACAGCTTGACATAGTTCCCAAGGGTGGCAGCGCTGTTGCATTTACCCAGACTTCTCCCGGTTTGTAAAGGAAAGGGAAGCTCTGGAACAATGTGTCTTCCTCTCTGCCCAAAATCGCAGTGCACGGAGGGAATGTCTTCTCCATTAGGCGCTTAAGTTTTCTTTCTATTCCACTTAATATAATTATGCATTTGGCTCCCTGATGGCTTTTCATGTTAAAGAGACAATGACTTAAGAGAACAAAAGGAAGGACTTCCAGGGGAGCCAGGAAAGAAAGCTGAGAGGATCAGAAGAGGCTCAACAATGCAGGAAATCCAGCAGCATTTAGAAAGACTGGTCAGCACCTACAAGTCTGACTTGGCCACAGTTCCTCAGCAGTTAGCGCCATGAGTCAGAGGAGAGGCAAGCCCCAGATGTGAAATTCCTTGTGCTTGTTTGATTAACACAAAGACCAGATCCTATAAAGGACCAAGTCATATCCTGATATATTATCAGCCTTTGAACAACACAGGAGACATTAAAATAGTCATCTGCCTGTGAGGAATTCTGAGAGAGAAACTCCTCGTATCTTCCGAAAAAGCAAAACTGGAGATAGCTCGCGCTTCTGGGTCCACATGGGGCTTTCTGTGGCTGTGGAAGACGAAACTTCACCTCCCACCCTCATACCACCTTCTTTGTTTTCTGCAGAGCATTTAATAACATACAGAATCTGTTCCACAGAAGTTGAGACCTTTGTCATCTTCTTGAACCTGAATCACCCATTCCTACAATGAAGGCTGATACCCAATTTCAGAAGTACAGATTATGTTCCTGGAACACTTAAGATAGGCCGGTCACTGTCTGGAGCATTTTACAGGTCTGCGATCATCGACATTTCCACAGCCGCTCAGGTGGAGTGTTAATATCTTAATGTGAAGGAAGGTTCTGGGCGGAGCTGGGGTCCAAGCCCAGGCAAATTCTCTCCACAGCCTCTCCCTTGACCTTCACAGCCTCCTGCCTTCCCTGGTGGGAACTCAGTGATGTTTGCTAAATGGACAAACTTTTGTGTACATAAGGTTCAAGGAGTAATCCAACAGAAGAACAGGAACAAAGGATTACTATTCATAATAAATAAACGTGTATGTAGATGTTAAGAAGACAGGATTTAGGTCAGTGATTCTGACTCCTGCCTCACGAGCACAAGGTCCTGAGTTCGATCCCCAGTACCAAAAAGAAAAAAAAAAAAGACAGCCTTGCTATAACCATAGAAATGCAAGCTAAAACAATGATGAGATCCATAGTGAACTATTCAAAATATTTAAAAGAAAAACAATAATCTTTCACTGAAGGCATATGGAAATGGATTTCTCACATAAGGACAATGTGAGTGTAAGTAAATTCATACAAACTTTTTTTTTTTTTGGTACTGGGAATTGAACTTGGGTCCTTGTGCTTGTGAGGCAGGTGGTAGAACCACTGAGCTAAATTCCCTGCCCCTTCACATGCAAACTTTTTAGAGAAATCAGTTGATAACCATAAAAATTCAAAGTGAATATTGCCTTTGACCCAATAGTTGATCTTCCAGACATTTTTCATACAAAAAATATTTTCACATGTATCTAGTTATTTTGGTGGGCACAAGAGCAAACATTAGTAACAACCTAAATGGCCATCAATAAGGGTTGGTAACTAAATAAATTAATAGATGCATGAAAGAAATTATGCTTATATGCTAGATTTGAAAACTGTTCAGTTGTTAGAAATTTTTGATAGGCTGAACAGTTTCAAAGGTGTATGATTAAGACTTTTTAAAAAGTAAGTCACACACACACACACACACACACACACAAAATAATAGCTGGGCATGGTGGCACACACCTGTAATCCAAGCGCTTGAGAGGCTGAGGCAGGAGGATCACTGTGAGTTCAAGACCAGCCTGGGCTACATAATGAGTTCCAGGTCAGTCTCAACCACATAGTGAGACCCTGTCTCAAAACAACAACAACAACAACAACAGCAACAGAAAACAAAGTAAGTCACCAGAAAATACACTTTATATAATTTCATTTATGTAAGATAAACAATTTTATGTCTTCCAGTACTAAGTGGAAGCAATTGGGAAAATTGTCCATGGTGCTTTCCTGTGGGGCAAGCAAGATTGGGAGGATCTGTGCATGCGGAAGGGATGTGGGCTGAGGGAGGCGAGGAGACAAGTCTGGAAGGCATAGAGCCAGGATGAGGAGGGTCTGGAGCCCAGCGGAGGACTCCTGTTTGGTTCAGTAGAGATGAGTATATCTATCCCTGACACGGGACAACTTCTCCTGAGGGCAATCTATCAACTTGTGTCACCAAAAATTATTTATTCATTGATGTTTTTGAGACAAGGTCTCACTACATAGGTCAGACTGTCCTTGAACTCACTATGTAGCCCAGGCTGGCCTCAAACTTGCCAGGATTACAGATGTACACCACCACACTTGGCTTGTAAAAGAAAAAATGTTTTTTAAGCCTTAAAACCTAAATACCTTTGACTCATAAATTGCTCTTCTAGGAACTTTTTTCCCTAAGATCATCATTTGTTTCCAATAACGTAAGCATAAGAATGTTCAGTGTGACCTACATACTCTGTAATGAGAGCTGGATATGTAAACTATGTGCCTCTAATCTGATGTAACTGAAAAAGCCATTAACAGCACCCACAAAGAATAGGAGAAAAGAATCCCCTAGATATTAAAAATGAAAAATGACTGAACTATGGTATGTTACAGATTATCTTTGAGTGGTGATTGTGAAAAAGATATTCAGTGTTTTCCCAGATTTCCTTTTTTCCTTTTGTATTCGGGGGAAATTGTTACTCTGATTAAAGACAGTGTTTTTGAGCTAGTGTGGCAGGATCAAAGCTATAAGTTCAGATTAATTCAGCCATGATGAAGACAGTGAGACTTCTGTCGAAACAGCCAAATTCAAAGTCTAATGAGGACTTAAGCACAGGTGCTGGGAGAGGAGACCAGGGTCTACTCTGTCTGTGTGAAAGACTGGCATTGCTGGCATGTGACAGACTCATCAATATGATGCCTTCACTTGTGGAGCTTCCCAAGACCCTGGCTGGAGTGAAGGGAGACCAGTCAGGCAAAAGGTCCAAGGTCAGGCTGGTTACAGAGGCCTGGATGTGCTGGGGAGAAGACAGAAAAGAGTAAGTTGTACCTGGCACAGGCAGCAGACAGAATGGCACCTGTCACCAAATGCCTGGTGGAGCCAGCTCCCTTCCTTCTTCTGCCTTTATCTTTGAGTTTATTCCAGCTTCTTTTCATTCTGCATTTCTCATTATCATTATAGGTTTGGGGGCTTTTACAAATACCTCATTCTTAGCCTGGCACTCCTATAAGGCCAACATTCTGATAGGCTGAGGTAGGCAGATTCCAAGCTCTGGCCCAGCCTGGGCAATTTATTGACTTAGTAAGGCTCTACCTAAAAAAAAAATAAAAAGAAAAAATAAGGAAAGAAAAGAAAAATGGCTGAGGATATAGCTCAGTACAAAGGCCCTGGGTTCAATCCTCAGTGCTGAAAAATAATTTCATTATTTTTCCTTTTTTAAAAATGTGAAAGGATTTACATGTGTAAGCATGTAAAGTAATCTCTGTGGTGAGATTACTATAGTGCTCTGTGCCTCTGTAAGTGTTCAAGAATAAGCATATGTCCTATTACTTGAAATTTCAAATCCAAATTTCTTCTTAGTTGAGGATTCAAAGCTCTCCGGAGTGTGGTCCTAACATATCCTCAATCTTATCCCAAAATGGCCCATAAAAATGTCTTTACTCACACTGTGGGCCCCAGATACATCATGTCCACTTCTGGTCAGCACCTGCCCTTCTTTAACCTCTTTTTGTTTGCACTGGGACAGTTCTTTGAGCAAAACTCAGCAGCCACCTCCTCCCTGAAATCCTTTTCGAGCATTTCAGAACATTGGGGCATCTCAGTCTCTGCAACGGTAGTTTTATACCTCACTAATATTCAGAGATTCTTCCTAAACTCCAGGCTTCACATGCATCCCTTTTTCTATCAGTGAGGGACTGTCAGCTCCATGTGGCAGATGAGTAGCATGATCATCACTGAGGTGTGGTATCTCACCCAGTGTCACCTACCCCAACAGGTGACAGGACTGGAATCTAAATCTAGCTAGATCGACTCCAGGACTTTGCTCTTCACTTCTGGCTGCTGTAGAGGTTTTCAGACTTTTCTCTCCAACCGCCCCCACCCAAGTGAATTTTATGCTTTCTTCAAATGGAAAAATAAACAGACCTTAAGAGGAGTTATTCTAGTAGAAGAATCAGGGAAATCCTTACTCCCCCTCAGTGGGCTTCTGTGCAGCACCCATGTGGTCCAAAACAACACAATGAAAGCCACAAGCATGGTGATATGCACCTATGATCCCATCACTCTGAGAGGCTGAGGCAGGAAGATCACAACTAATTCAAGCTCAATTGGGGCAACTTAGTGAGAACTTTTTCACAAAAATTTAAAAAATTTTGAAGGGCCAGTGTAGCTCCATCCCCCTTAACAAACACACACACACACACACACACACACACACACACACACACACAGAGCCCCATCTCAGCCTCCTCTTCCTAAGATGTTAAAAAAAAAAAAGCAGATGTCCTAAAGCAGCTCAGCATGACGACAGCTCCAGGACTCAGCAGATTTGTCTCCCTACCTGGCAATTGCTTGGCTCTGAAGCATCTACTTTTCAGCTAATCACTTGCTACTAGATTATTTCCTTGGGATATCATTGCTGTTTACCAGTGTCTATATGATGAATGGCTTTTTGTTTTTATTGTCCACACTCGGTTCCCAGCAGTTCCATAGCTGCTGGCCAGAGAAGAGCTTCCCAGGGCACTGCACCAGTTAAGTCATTAGGCCTTTTTCTCACGCACAACAGATCATTATTCACAATATGTAAAAGTTGTTATAAATACTGAGAAGACAGCCTTGCTATAGTCACAGAAATGCAACTAAACCTGTAATGAGATCCACCTATGATCTATTAAAACGTTGAAAAGATTAACACTAACCTATTTTTTGAGGGCATATGGGAAGGGACTGTTTCCTACACTGATGGTGGGAATACAAAGTCTTACAAAATTTTTAGAGAAAATGTGTTGATTATCCATGCAAACTCGAAGTGGGTATTGCCTTTGCTTCACCACTTGTTCTCTCAGAAGTGTTACGATATAAAAATGTTTGCACACATATGCAGAGTTATATCAACCAGGCCACCAATTGCAGCACTCTTTATAAAAGCAAATATTAGAAATGATCAAAGTATCCACCAGGAAGAGGTAGAAACAAACTAAACAAATTAATATTTGTATTAAATAAACATACCCCAAAAGAAAACTAAGTTACTAGAAATTTTGGGTAAGCTAATCTGCACTAACATGGGAAGATTTCCAAGACATATGGTTAGGATTATTAAGAATCAAGTCATCAAATAATATGTACCATGTGCTCTCATTTGTGTAAAGCGAACCATTTTGTATAAGATAGCATCATTTGGACGCAGTTGGTTGAACGATTAATGGAGCTGTCCTGTGGGAAGGAACAGGGCTGGGAATGTATGTCAGGTCCAGACTTCCCAGGGCCATCCCGGGCCCAGTTCTTAAAGATTGTATATGGCTTCAGGACAGAATGTGAGTGAACAGATGATTAGTACTTTAAGGTCCAAACGAAGGTGAGGAAACAGGAAGAGGGAGCTAGAATACACCATCAGTATAGACACGCCTGTCTCTCCTCTTCCCTCCTTACTCTCTCCAAACGTCCCCATCTTGAGTTCACACCTCAGAAAGGTTAACCAGCAGGCAGGACTCACCAGGCTCCATCTCCCTCCTCCTGTCCACCAAGGCCCTTCAACGAGTCAGCATTAGGATTTCAGACCCAATTGCTTCTGTGTTCACAGCAAAGAGAACCTATCTTCACTTCCTCCTGCTCCTCCCCATCCCTCTCTGAAATTTCCCATTGTCCCAGGTATAATTTCACTTAAGAAAAGGAGTTTCTGGGGCATGGTGGCGCACGCCTGTAATCCCAGCACTCTGGAGACTGAGGCAGGAGGATCGCTGTGAGTTCAAGACCAACCTGGGCTACATAGTGAGTTCCAGGTCAGTCTCAACCACATAATGAGATCCTGCCTCAAAAACAAAAAACAAAAACAAACAAAAAAGAAAAGGAGCTTCTGCCTTAAGCCTCTAAGCATGGGCTGAGGAATTTGTTTCTGAGAGAAGACGTGGAAAGTGAAGCTCTGCTCCACTCTGCCCCTCAGCACAGTCTCTTCCAGCCCGAGAACCCATTCATCCTGGGGATGGCGCTGAACCCAATTCCCCTTGGATGCCAAGGAACAACCATACTCTTGTTTTGTTTTGTTTTTTTCCCCCCTTCATGCATTTGACAAGTAATTTAAACCCTCAAGCCTCTCTTTTTCCCCGTTGGAGAGGCACCATAGGAGAAGCTTTGAGGCACATAAAGAGCTGACCTTTATCCCTGAGGAGATCAGAAACTACACAACTCACACAAATGTCCTCTAGAAAAGAAACCGGCCCAGGTGGAGGCTCAGAACCATGGCTGTGTCCCCTCTGGAGAGCTCCAGAAAGGCGCTGCAGTCTGCGGGCTCCCCTGGAGTGGGAGTGGAAGGGGTTTGTGGAGAGGAAAGATGGAGCGAGAAAGGGTTAGGGGCCACAGTGCCCTGTGAGCAACAGAGGGGAGTGGGAAAGGCCAGGAGTCCTGTGGAAGCAGGCGCGGGAACTGCTGCAGCGACCCAGACTCAGCTCATAGAGCAGATGTTTGCAACACGGAGAAAAAGAGCAAGGGGCTTCCGCATTTCAGACAGTCGATTTCAGGCTGCCTGCTGTGCTTGTTTTACTCACTCATTCACTCGTCTTTCATTCATTTGTGCAGCACTGGCGGTTGAACTCAGGGCCTCCTCGTAAAAGGCAAGCCCTTCACCGCGGAGCTGTACTCTCAGCCCTTGGCATTGCTTCAGGTGCTGGAGGTGCGTGCATGCGTGTGTGCGAGTGTACGCTACTCCCGACTCTGGCTGCTCTTCCTGCAGACTTCACTTCATCAAAGAAGCTTTCCCCTGCTAGCTGAGGCCTCTGCCTTTACTCTCTTGGAACACTGCCATTTCCCTTAGCAGACTCTGAACAACCATTTTTATAATTTGCTATCCCCTCTAGGCTCCCTGATCTCTTATTTTCCCTTAGATGACCCCACCTGAACAAGCTGTGCCACCTATAAAATAAAGCCAGTTTTCTAGACATCCAAATGGCCCTAGATCCAATCCTTCCCGCAGGAGAGCCACCGGAAGTTGTACATTTCCCAAGGTCCCCCTCCCAGAAGTCAGGATTCCCAGGCTGCTTACTTTTGTCCAAGACCAATTCTGCTTTCGCGTGCTGTCACCTTCTCAGGAAAAGAACCCTCAGCTGCGCTGTGCCTGGCTCCCCCAACTGGATGTCTGTGACCAGCTCCACAGCCTGGGAGGTTACCAATGCCTTCAGCTACGAACCAGGAGGGAAGGGCAGAAGGTGGTGATGAAATCAGCCACACCCTCTGCTGGGAGCAGCCCTTGGGCCTGCTGTTGAACCTTGGTTCCCATATGGAAGGCCCCTTGTTGATGGGAAGCTGCACCTATCTTGTCCTACCCTCCCCATTTGGCCTCAGCCAGGACCCCTGGAGACCTTCAAACTTGTTTTAATAACTAAATACTAAGGAGGCAGTTGTCTTTGATCCCCCAACTTCCCCCAGCCCCTGCCAGGTATTCTTTTGCCCCTTGAAAATGCAGAGTATTGGAGCTTTGCCAAGTTTCTCCATCTAAAGCCTAAGGTAGAGGCTAATGCCTAATTCTGCTCTCAGCAACTTCACAAGGCTTGTCTTGATAAGTGTTCTCATAGTTTGTGTGTGTTCCATTCATTCATTTCACAGACATTTACAGAGTCACTGTCTTGCTGGGCACTGTTTCAGGCTCTCCAGATACAGTCCCACAAATTCCCTTCAAGTTAGAAAGGTCTGTTTGTGGTGCTGTGATGGGAAATGTGGTTTACATGTCAGAACGCTGACTTTGGGAATTCCCTTAGAGAATATCTCAATACACAGCTGTCTTCCAGAGCAGCAGAGACTCAGGCAGGGTGAGCAGCTATGAGGCTTCCGGCTGAGAAAGACATTTCATGAGACACCGTGGGCCCAAGGAAGCGGCACTATCAGATTGGCCCTCTCACTAATGACAGGCACTGATGTGGGACCTACCTGTGTCTCCAACAGTCAGCACTAAGTATTCTAAAGTTCATTAACAATAGTAGTGATTTTTCATGCTGGGGATTTAGCTCAGTGCAACCTTGTCTGCCTCGCAAGTGCAAGGTCCTGAGTTTGATCCTTGGTACTGGGAAAACCAAACAAAACAAAAACACACAGAATAGTGGTGGTTTCTCTAGGTGACCCCAGGGAGAGCATGGGTTACTATTAAAGAGTGGCTGTATTCAACCCCAATAGGGTCTCAATTTTCAAGACTTGGGCTGCCCTGTTTCCCAGAGGGTAATTCTGCAATTCTAGGGGGGTTCTGGAGTGACTCCTTTTAGAATGAGCCCCTCAACGTTTCAAGACAAAGGAAATATTATTTCAACAAACATTTTTCTTGACTCTTCCCATGAACACAGCACTCAGCAGGATTCTGGAGGCACAGCAGGAAATGACAGACGGGACTCGTGTTCTAAGAGAACTTACTTTCCACAAAGACAGAAATCTCACAGTCCCAAAGTTCCAGCTGAGTGAGTCCAGACTATCCCAAGGGGGTCAGTTTCATCTGTGTGGAGGACAAGAAGCCTCCCATGGGGACCGGTCTCTAATTTGATTCGAAAAGGTGACTGGAAATTCTAGGAACGAAAAAATGACACTGAGAGAACCATGCCTGCTCCCGACCCAGCCGCCATTGCTCAAGCGCCGGGAAGTAACCTGGGCCCCGATCCACTGCGGGAAGGAGAACCACGCCTGCTCGCGAACCAGCAGCCATCGCTCAAGCGCCGGGAAGGTAGCTGGGGCGCCCCTGAACCCCCATAAGCCCCCCTCCGCACTCTCAGACCTCCTGACTGTGCCAGTCTTTGGACCCACTCTGCAAAGACAGAGGTGGTCATCAAGGGTATTTTTCTGAGTTCCCAACTTTGAACATCTTTAAAGAAAGGGTGTGGGAAACCTGTAATAGAAAGTTGGGGAGTTCAACCATTCAGAAGGATGGGGAATCAGTCTGGGCCTTGCAGCCTGAGGTCAGTCAGCGTCAGGGGCCCAACAGAGCAAATCAAATAGGCAAGGCAAGAAATTAAAAGGAGAAGGTGAAAAAGTAAAAAGAGTCAACAAAAGGCCAATAACATCTCAATAATAAGTCAGTACATATCAGTTATAACCAGCAATGTCAATGGCCTCAACTCACCAATCAAGAGAAATAGACTGGCAAAATGGAATAAGAAGCAAAATCCAACAATATGTTGTATACAAGAAACACACCTAGTGCAAAAAGAAGCCCATAGACTGAAAGTGAAAAGATAGAAAACAATTCTCCATGTGACAGGAGCCCAGAAAAAAACAGAGGTAGCAATCTTATTTGCAGACAAAGTAAATTTCAAACCAAAACTGAATCTAGTATTATTGATGTAGGACGGTACTGTATCATACCTCTATGAATGTAAAATATCTAGTACCTGCTTTATAATACATAGTAGGGACCGTGCTTTATCAGAGCTACATTTAAT